AAAAAAAAAAAAAAAAAAAAAGAAAACTAATCCTGTCATGAGGTCTGCATCCTCAGGATCTCATCTATACCTAATTATCTCCCAAAGCCCCCATTTCCAAATCCCAACACATTGAGAATTAGGGCTTCAACATATGAATTTTGGGGAAAAGAAATCTGGCTCATAGTACCATCTTAATTAAGTGATAAAATCCACCAATAATAGGACAAGTTGATATCATATGTCTTCTAATATGATGCAATAAGAACAGCATTACTTCGGCCGGGCAAGGTGGCTCACACCTGTAACCTTAGCACTTTGGGAGGCTGAAGTGGGTGGATCACTTGAGGTCAGAAGTTCAAGACCAGACTGGCTATCATGGTGAAACCCTATCTTTAAAAAAAGAAAAGAACAGCATTACTTCAATGCTATTCCTGCTAGAAATGCATAATCCGAATCTGTTCATGAGATAAATATGAAACAAAGCTAAATTGAAATACATTCTGCAGGCCAGGCGCAGTGGCCCACGTCTGTAATTCCAGCACTTTGGGAGGCCAAGGTGGGTGAATCACGAGGTCAGGAGATTGAGACCATCCTGGCTAACACAGTGAAATTCCATCTCTACTAAAAATACAAAAAATTAGCCAGGTGTGGTGGCATATGTCTGTAATCCCAGTTACTTGGGAGCCTGAGGTAGGAGAATCGCTTGAACCTAGGAGGCAGAGGTTGTGGTGAGCCGAGATTGTGCCACTGCACTCCAGCCTGGGTGACAGAGTGAGACTCTGCCTCAGAAAAAAAAAAAAAAATACAACGGGACATGTAACTCGGAGAGACAAGGATTTGAGACATACGGTAGAGTGGTTAAATATACGGAATGAGAGGCTGGGCACGGTGGCCCACACTTATCATCTCAACACTTTAGGAGACGGAGGTGGGCAGATCATGTGAGGTCAGGAATTCAAGACCAGCCTGACCAACATGGAGAAACCCTGTCTCTACTAAAAATACAAAATTAGCCTGGCATAGTGGCACCTGCCTGTAATCTCAGCTGCTTGGGAGGCTGAAGCAGGAGAATCTCTTGAACCCAGGAGGCAGAGGTTGCGGTGAATCGAGATGGTGCCATTGCACTCCAGCCTGGGCAACAAGAATGAAACTCCTTCTCAAAAAAAAAAAATATATATATGTGTGTGTGTGTGTGTGTGTGTGTATGGATATATATACACACATATATGGAATTAGAACGTAACATACATGTATGTAATCATAGTCTCAGAAGCAGAGAATGGAGGAGAGGTAATATTTAAAGAGATTATGACTATGAAGTTTTCAGAACAGTTAAAAGGCATGAGTCCACAAAGGACTACATACACCAACAAGGTAAACAAAAATAAACTCACACCTATATATATTTTAAACTGTACAATACCAAAGGCAAAGATAACATCTTCAAAGCAGCCAGAGAGAGAAGACAGATCCTCTCAACGAGATGAGAGTTATGCAGAGAGCTGATAACAAAGGCCAGAAGATAGAGAATTAACATTTCCAAATGGGTGAAAGAAAAAAATAACGTAGATTTCTGTGTCCTGAAAACTTACTCTTTTTCAATACGAGGACAAAATTAAGCATTTCTATGCTAATAAAACCTTAGGGAGTTTATGGCCATGACAACTTCACCAAAAGAACCATTATCAGGGGCCGGGCGCGGTGGCTCAAGCCTGTAATCCCAGCACTTTGGGAGGCCGAGGTGGGTGGATCACAAGGTCAAGAGATCGAGACCATCCTGGTCAACATGGTGAAACCCCGTCTCTACTAAAAAACTACAAAAAATTAGCTGGGCATGGTGGCGCGTGTCTGTAGTCCCAGCTACTCAGGAGGCTGAGGCAGGAG